ATCACTTTACTTGTTAGATGGAGAGGTAAATAAGATTACCATGGATATAAAATTAGTCACTATTTTATATACTACAATATTCTGGTGGGAAGTTACCCACAATTTATTATTTTGAATCAGCAAAATGCCATCACAAACATTTCTATCTATATTACAAACTTGTTCATCATTGCATATCTGGCAAAAACATTAATTATGTATTTGTGGCGACATTGTCAGGAAAAATTACAGTAGGTAGGTATAGGATTTATAACATTTTGTAGCATACTATAAATACAATAGAGAATGCTGTTTATACATTATTTCAAATTAAGAATTCCACATTAAAGTGATGGAGGGACCAGTGCAAAATGTTAACTAGATGACATCCCTACAGGAAGCACCTGAAGAAGACCCATAGAGTGCAACACCCTATACCTTAGGAAAGTATAGGGGCACATTCATCAGAGTCCATACGTCATTTGTACCAGGGTACACTCCTCACCTGGGCAGTAAGGGAAGGGAGTGTCACGATTATTGGCAGAAGACAAGCACAATCCAATACCTGCAACAGGTTTTTGGAAGTGCCATATGTGCAGTGTAGCTACAGCACATCAGACCATGTGTGGTTGGTCAAATTAACCTATAATATAAATATTATATTATTTTCTTACCAACTGTATTTGTATATTTTTCTTTTCATGGACTGAAAGTGAGCCCTGTCCTAATAAAAATAATAATAACCTATGAGCATAGATTACATTGATTAGCACCATATAAAATCATCAACTGATTCAAATTTGTTTCCACTTACCAATTAATACAGCTTTTGATTATTCCAACTATCAGTCATTAGAATATTGCCATTGTAATTTTTCATTATTATTTTCAATTAAATCAAGGTTGTTCAGCTTATAAAAATACTCAACTTTATATTGACATGTTCAGATATCTCTTCAAGTGTGAAGACTGGATCAGTTTGATGTCATTTCTCATAATTAAACAATTTTCAAATGTTAACATTACAGATGTTTTGAATAGCAACATAAGCCACATTAATGATGAAGATCCCACTCTTTAGAAAATAAAGTTTGGAGACAGCTTGAATGGATAGTGAAAGAAACTATTACAAATATAGAATCTTTTGACAAGCTTAAGTCATTATCACATGATGACAGAAGCATGACGAAATGTTACAAGTTTGAATGTAAAGTTTCTTTCACTATCCATTCAAGCTGTCTCCAAACGTTATATGCCATGTAGGGGTACCAATCAGTGGATAAGATAGTCATCAGAGCAGATCAGGCTTTCTCTACTGATTTTGTGCACTAGACTTACATTTATTGCAAGAAATTCAAACCTCATTATGTAACGACTATATGGTAATGGGTGCACCTAAAGGATTAAGGTATTTAGAATAAACAATGGTATATCTCAGTTAGCATCTAAAACAATTCTAGAAAGAGATAAAAAAGCAATTTAGATTTTATTTCTATGATGGTCTCAAATTCAGTCAAATCAGAGTCAATAGAGAGTCAAGAAGAAAAAAAAAATATATATATATATATATATTTATTTAGGAAGTTTTAGAGGTTACACATATGAAATTAAATTTTTCAGATGGAGAAAAGTATTTTTAATCTTAACATGAAAACCACTTTGCACTCAGAGTAGTTAACACTTTGACACCATATTCTCACAGATAAATCTTTAGTACATGTACTTAATTTAAAATTCAATTTTTTTTGTACAAAAGACTTGTAATGTTTAATGAAAGTTTTTTAAAGATACACATGCTATATTAAAAGTTATAATATTAAAACTCAGATGATTTCTTTCTGGTTACAAGGTCAGTCACATCAACCACCTTGTATGGAAAGTCAAAGTAAGATTCTTACAAAACTACAAAAAATGTAAAAAGATGCATTAAAAACTGGCTTGAAGGTAGAAAACAAGGGTTAGTGACAAACAAATGCCCTTTCATTGGAAAAATGTGAATAGCAAGGTCCTTCAACTTCATGTCTGTCATGAAATATTTGTTGTTAATGATGTATACTATTGGAAACAATTATGAAAATTGAGAAGAAAAATAATACAAAAGGCAAATGCTACAGGAATAATGAACTAAACCAGAACACAGCTACACACTGAGCTTGTTGATGGTTTGCACTTTGATTGGTGGTTATCCAACTAAGCAGAAAGTGCCACACCAGCATAAAGCTTATCACAATAAAAGTAGTCATACTATGCACAGAAAAGGTAGTGAAATCAGTCATGGCTCCTAGACTCCACATTTCAGTAGAAGCTATATGCAAGCTGAAGAGGATTGTATATCAAACGGACAATATTAATAAATTCACAGAAGTGGTTGAGTTACACAACCAAACCTCTCCAAAAATGATGTTAAGTATCTCAGGGTATGTTCTTTAGAACTTAAATAACAGTGAAGATATTGACAACAACCTTGTTGTAAATGCATGAAAATTATCTTGTTCAGAACAGTAAGATATTCATTATCATTCAGTATTCTCGAAAACTTGTTGAAAAAAAGAAACCAAACCAAAAGGTTGAAATGGGCACTGAACCACAAGAATTGGAATAAGTAAAGATGATTCCAAAGTTTACTCCTTACTGAATGATCCAAGTTCAAATTGCAAAGCAATGACTAACATGTTTGTTTGATGTAAGTGGAAAATGATATGATCAACTTACAACATCTACAGAGAGGCTTGGTGAGAAAACAGTACAAGTTTGGGGATGAATTTCAGTCAATGGTGTTTGTAATCTACACAAAATTGATATTAACCTGACTACTGACAAGTACAAGCAAATTTATATCTATACAACATTCCCCCCATGAACGTGACTCTTCAAATGAAGATTCATCTTCCAGCAAGACAATGATCTAAGCAAACTGTAAATGTGTTGAAACAATATCTCAATAATAAAAAGGTAGATTGAATACTTAAACTATAGCTTGACCTACACAAAGTCTTGAAATGAACATTCTTGAGGATGCCTGGGTTTATGTAAAAACTGAGGAGATCAAAAGGGTGACCAGAAAATTTGGTTGAATTGTGAGGAGCAACACAGAACACTAGAACAATATTCCAAAACTGTACAATGGTAGAATAAAAACAAGGTGTAATGCTTTGTGTAAATCAAAGTACATTGTACAATTTATTTAGTTATCTTTTTAATTTTCTGAATATTTTCTTGAATAGTGGGCAGGTACCAGAGGATTGGAAGTTAGCTAATGTAATCATCAAGGGAGATGATAAAAAATTGTCCCTGTAATTATAGACCCATTAGTCTTACATCAGTTGTGGGGAAAACTTTGGAAAGCCTGTTAAAAAGATACTTTGCAAAGTCATTTAACAAAGTTTAGAATGTTATTGGATAGTCAACATGGTTTCACTATGGGAAAATCTCGCCTTACAAATCTTTTGACATTCTTTGAAAACGTTACTGCTTATGTAGATGAGGGTAAGGGTGTAGATTTGGTGTATCTGAATTTTGAGAAAGCATTTGACAAGGTGCTACATAAAAGGCTTGTACAAAATATTATCTTATTATCTCTATAGGCGTGGGGGATAAGTTATAAATTGGATAGAAATGTGGCTGGATGGAAGAAAGCAGAAGGTTGTTACAAATGGAGTTCAGTCAAACTGGATTAATGTCACAAGTGGAGACTTCAGGACACAGTCTTAGGACCTTTGCTCTTTTTGGTTTATATCAATGACAGATGAAGAAATAGTCTTGGGTGTGCTACCTGTGAAAAGGATGCTGCTGATTTGCAAAAGAATTTAGATCATTTAGTGTGTTGGGCAAATAAATGGCAGATGGGTTTTAATTATAGTAAATGCATGATAATGCATGTGGGTTATCATAATTTGAATGATAAGTATAATTTGGATGAAAATAACCTGAATAGTGTTATGAAGGAAAGGGTTCTTGGTGTAATAGTCGATCAGTCTCTAAAGCCATCCAAGCAGTGTGCTGTTGCTAGTGGTAAGACAAATAGGATTTTAGGTTGTATCTACAGAAATACATGTCTATAGAGGCTATAATTTCATTATACAGGTCACTGGTTAGGCCACACTTGGAATATTGTGTTCACTATTCAGTCTTTGGCTCCTTACCTTCGGAAAGTCATTGAATTCTTGGAAAGGGATCAGAGAAGGGTTACTATAATTGTGCCTAGAATGGAGGGGTTGTTATATGACCAGGAGCCGAAATCTCTCAAATTGTTTTCTCTTGAAAAAAAGAAGAGTTAGGGGGGATCTGATTGAGGTGTTTAAGATTGTAAAGGGAATTGATAGTGTTGATGTATCATCTTTTTTATATTTAATAATGAGAATAGTAGGACTAGAGGACACAAATATAAATTTTGGCAAGGTAGGAGTCATCTTCAGCTTAGACAGTTTTATTTTTCTAACATGGTGGTTGTCCTTTGGAATGGGTTGCCTTCAGATGTTGTAGAGGCAGTAAATTTAAGTGAGTTTAAGAAAAAGCTTGATAAATATATGAATGAAAAGGGCTGGGTTTAAAATTTGTTTATCTTGTTTCTTTTAACCATTTTAATTGGGTTTTGAGGATGGAATAGTAGGTCCCATGTTGTTTCCAAATATTATGTTAAGTTATAAAGTCCATTCAAATTGGACCCTTATTACTAGTGGAGTGCCTCAAAAGGTAGCTTGAGCCTTTAAAGTTTAATTTCCCTTCCATTAAGTTTACAATGTTAGATTAATATATTGACGGGGCATCTAGTTTTTGTTGTTTTCGTTTTTTTCTGGTAAGGTAAATGACCAGTATTTTAGTAAATTTTGCAGGAGTTTAACTTACAGTGGATTTAATGATTTCCTGAAAGTGAAACTAAGGTAGGTTTTAGTTTTACTTCTCGAAAAGCGGGTATGAAAGAACAGCCTTTAAAAGTTCAAGCGATGAAGGACCAAATGGTCTTTTTCAAGGCTGCTGTCACGATGGATGCAACATTGTATGTAAATTTAACTTGTTCTTACCTGTGTTTCGGTATTCCCATTAAAAAGACTGAGGCCATAATATGAATGCCTACTAGTACAGATGGGACACATACTAAAGAATACACGACTATTTGATATGACCCAAAGTGTCCAAGATACTCCAATATTTCTTCAAAATTCATCTTTCAGCTACAAACTTCCTTTACTTTACACCATGTAATCTTTATTAACTTTGTACATGTATATATATACA